AAATAAGCGTCTGGTATATGGCGGAAAAGTGAAATCCGTGCGCAGATACTGGCGTAAATACTTCGCATGAGGTCGTATCAAATAATCTCAATGAGAAATTGCGGTTCGAAGTTTAACGACGTTTTATACTTGATTCCCAACTTACTAAAGTGAAAGTTCATTGATATTGTTTTTAAATGCTTGGTAAAACTTTGCAACAGATATCACATTAAACGCTTCGCATTTGTCACTTACAAGTACGACCAATAACATTAGTAACATATAAAAAGAGCAGATACAACTTGAATGAAAAGGCTACCTCATGAAGGCTTAGCATTTGGTATAACAAATTACACCCATTTCTACCATTACGTCTGTATGATTTACACCTTCTCTTTGCCCCCACCTCCGCGGGAATCCAGGAAAATCTGGTGCCCTCCGTGAACACAACATCATGTATATCGTGTATCGAGAACATCTCCTTCCCTTACGCCCTGTTTTGATGACTGATGCTGTCTCAGGTAGACTAAGTTAAATCCGTCTAGGGAGGTTTAATGTACCTTATTCGTCCAGAATACTTAACTAAGCATAAATGTAAATTTTTCATTAAAATAGAAAATTTAAGATTTGTTTGCTGTTATTTTACCAGGAGTTACATTATATATATATATATATATATATATATATATATATATATATATATATATATATATATATATGTGTGTGTGTGTGTTTCTCGATCTATTTATTATTTTACCCTATCCCAATTGCAATATACAAAAATAATCAATTCACCTTCCAATGCTTACAGGATACTTCTATTTGTGCAATAGCATTTTTCTACGTACTTCGTACTACAACCATACCACTTTCACGTAATACTCACATAATACGCATTACGTTTCTCATATTAAATTCGCATACTGTCAAAAAATGTCAAATCTGATTTTGTAATCGCATCGACTTCATGTTACGCTTGAAGAGATGTTAACGATTGCGTACGAATTATTATGTATTAACTTTAGGAAAATATGGCCCATTTTCGTTTTGCCGGCCATTTCCTCCGAGCCCGAAAACGGAACGGCTTTCGAGCGAGCTGCGATCCAATGACAGATTGCTGGGCGCCCAATTCCGCGGGAGATTAAGCCGCGACCTTGGCGATAGCATCGACTGCGCCCGAGAGGCGTTCGTGAGCCATCTGATAGCGGCGCTGCATTCCGGACATAGCCGCGCGCACGCAACGTCACGCCGCACTCGCCGCGCCGCGCCACGCCGCGCCACGCCGCGCCACGCCGCGCCACGCCGCGCCACGCCACGCCGCGCCACGCCACGCCACGCCACGCCAAGGCGTGCTACACCAGGCTGCTCTTTGCCATGCCACTTCTCGCCGTTCCATCACTCGCCGTGCTACTCTTCGTCAATACACACCACGCCATGCCATTTTTCACCATGCCACTTCTGGACATGCCCCTCCTCGCCATGCCACTCCTCGCCATGACACTCAACGCAATGCCAAATCAGGACGCGCTACATCACACAGCTAGGTGGCTCCGCTGAGCACTACTCTACTCTACGCTGCGCCACCCCCCAACGCGCCACACAGCGTCCCTTGGCGCCGTGCTTTCCGCGCGTCCCTCTAAGCGCCGCCCTCCGGATCGTGCCTTCCCGCGCCAAGCCTCATCCCCCTATGCGTTACCGCGCTGCGCCTTACAGCTCCATGCCTTACCTAAATATCCTCCTCACAATGAAATGACAGACGTTTTAACTGACGTCGATGATATACTGCCGATGTGTATCAACATCTCGTGCTCATTTATTTAAGCTTCAGCTCCGTGCAAACTTGACAGAAAGGAAGTGTCGCAAGCATGCATGCATGCAGGTCATTCACTTGACGTGTGAAAAATATCCCTGCGACAATGTTAAACGGGGGGAAATATGTAAACTTTTATCAACAATCTTTCTTTTACACCTTGAGTTGATAGTGATTCAAATCTCACGCGCTATGTACGTTAAGTACACATGCTCGTGTGTTTAATAACTACTTGTTCTAATAAACATATTATGATTTTCTTTGCATGAGCCAATATACAAATAAAGAACTTTATAATTGTTTCTCACCTCGTTTTTTTCTTGTGATATTAGCAGATAGTTTCCATTGGCAATATTTCTAATTAAGATGTCGTTTCCGTTAATATATGTATTCAGCGTTGAAACTATTTTTGCATGACGAGACTTAGCCGCTCTAGGTCAGACGCAGTTGCGCGTAAGGTTGCAGATCTATAATCGATCGAGTGAAAGTGGGTCATCGACAGGGCTGAGTTGGAGACGCTCCCTTGTCATGAGGCACACTTCGTCGCAGTTTAGAAATTTTGTAAGAGGATTCCCGTTCTTTCTCTTGCTGAAATATCAGAGAGAAAGGAATGCCACCGCTTATAGAAAATCTTTTTGACGTTGTACTGCTGATGCAATTTTAGATGATGTTGCTCATAAAGTTTAATGCGTTGGATACGAATAATATTTTTGGTAGTTATTCTTAGACTTAGCAGAAATGAATTTAAGTATTAAATTTCTAGGAATTTAAGTGTTATTATATTTATTTTTAGCAGTGGTAATTCAAGTTCTTCCAAACAATCACTGATCTTACAGGGCATGTGAACCTCGAGCCAATGAATATTTTCATATGCCCTGCAGCCCATATATTCCTTTTCACTAGTGTCACAAATCAAACGATTATATGAATCTGTTATTGAATGGAGACCATGTGATACTTTTAAATCCTTCGCACAAATTATTTTGGCTTCTACTGAAATGTATTTTTCTCGTATGGATTTGTTGGCTGATGTGACTTGGGCATCAACTGATGTCTCTGCAGTGCCTCTGACCGGGAGGTCCTAGGATTCAAGTCGCGTCGTTGGCAGGATTTTCGACACTAGCTAGATTGCTAGGTTGAATTCCGCTGCCACCGTCGGGAGTCGAACCTAAGACCTCCCGGAGAACAATCCGTCCACTCCTGATCTTAGAGTTTGTGGTGGAGATACGTGGAGGGAGAAGTCCCTGCAAGCCAACGTGTAGGACGGCGCGGGATATCAATTTCTCATTGGCAGAAGAACCGCCACAGCGCGAGAAATATATATTAGTTAATTCAATAATGTCATAAATTTGAATACCATTATTGTCAATTACTTTTATGTATTACACTTACGGAACTAATTACAACAGCAAACTAAGTACCAGGAATCTTGAAAAAACCAATCAATATTATAGATATTATAATGTTCAAAAATTAAATATTCTCAAATAATTGTAAAATCACTGCAAAATTTATGATATTTCTTTTGAATATTAATGCGTAATTAAGTATATTTGGTATACTTCATAGTAAAGTAAAATATCATGGAAAAATATAAGATCTGTTGAAACTATTACAGAAGCCGAGGCTTCTACACACGTTAGCCGTACTCAGGAATTCACCTTACGTCAGCTGAAACTAGTGTTACAGAATGTAGTTCTCCAACTTGACTACCTCTAGTCTGCAGCAAAGCTTCAAATTATATTACTTGTCTGCGAATGAAAAATAAAGTTCCTCAGCACGGGTGAGCAGTAACGCGAGAGCCTTCCCGAGTTCCCGACTCCAACTCCGGCACAATGCAATCGCTCGTACAAAGCTGCTAGGGAACGGGGCCGGGCCGCGGGCGGGCCGTCTGCCGTCTGCTCGCTTGCTATCTTCCAAGTGGGCCGTATTTTTCGAAAACTCCATTTCAAAGATCCCGGAGCTGGAAGTTGGTGCGGGCGCTCGCCGGCCGCCCACGGGGGCGGTGCGCTCTGGCGGCCCAGGGCTGCAATGCGCCGTTTGCGGAGCTGGACGACGTGCGTGGGCGGGGCCGGAGGTGGGAGGTGAGGGGCGATGGGGGCGGAGGAAGTGGGGATGGATGTGCTAGTGAGGTTGGTGCAGGTTGGGAGGGGCGGCGCTGAGAGTGGTGTGGACAGTATGAAGCTAGGCGAGGAAAGTGGAAGGGCAGGCTTGATGTCTTCGGGAGTTGTCAAGGGAGGTAGTGATGTCGGAAGTGACCAGGTGTTGCCACATTGGGGATGAGTATGCTAGAGGCGTCGGGGTAGAATTGATTGTCTCTGGCACTTAAACGCCTGTGTTCATTAGTCCCGTAAGTGTAGTGAATGTTTCACTCTCCAGAGGTGGTGTTCCTCCCGCTCTTGAGGATGGTGAGATTCGACGCCGACCTACACACGGACGATTCCTCTCACCAAATATCTCCCAGTGGGACTTCATCTCAGCCAGCCGTGCTCTGAGCTCTCAACAGGTCCCAGAACATGTCTGGAAGAGTAGCTCTAGTAGGTGTGCGAGTTTGCAATGAGAAAGTACGCCACAAAGGAAGAGAAAGAATAGACCGCCCGTCGTCCGTGCCCAGTTTATGAAGGTACGGCTCCGGCATTCGCCTGGTATTGATGAGAGAAACCAATGAAAACTACCAGGCAAAGTTCCTGACACCAGCTGCATTGGACCTAACTATTTAGCTTGAGCCGAATATCGGCCACCATAAGGTCTAGTACCCGAGGACCTCCCGGTCAAAGTTGCTGCTGTGTCGGTGATGGAGGTTTAGAGGACGAGGAGGCCGTAGTTCAAAGCGGCGGTGGCAATTGTGGAGGCAGACGGGGTAAGTGGATGGAGTGTGCCCGTGTGTTTTGGGACTCGGGACTTGGGAAGGGGGAGGGGCTGAAGGAGAGTAACGGGAGGAAGTGATGTCGGGAGCGACAGAGGGTGCGTGCAATAGAGTCGTCGCTGAAGGAGGTGCGCTGGAAGAGGGAGCTGAAAGCAGCGGTGAAGGTGGAAGCGAGGGCGAGGGTGGGGGTATCGCGGCTGGCAATGGGGGGGGGGCGAGAGCGGGCCGGCGGCGGTGCGGGCGGGGCGCAGGCGCTCGAGGAGCGAGGCAAGACAGGCGCGTATCTCGCCTGGCGGCGACTTGGCTACTCATAAGTAATTAAACTTGCCCGCAGCCTCACAAAGCATGAGTTGGGCGCGGGCCGCGGCCGAGGCGGAGGCGGTAGTGGTGGTGGCGGTGGCGGTGGTAGGGGAATATGGTGAAGGAAGGGGCGGCGGGAATGATAGGGGTTGGGCTTTAAAGAGATGGGAGGGGGTTCTTGCGAGGCGAACAGGAAAGTTCGTTTTCCAAGGTCGAGGCAGCAGGGGCTATCATTAAAAATACGCCAGAAAGATAATGCACGTATTGAAACGTATCGCGTACGTGACACCATAGCTTATAGTATTGCTTGCCATCTCAATGTATATAATTGCAATTCATTACTAATTAGCTATTTCTTTTTCAGAGATCTAAGGTCCCCAAGCACTGTTTCTAATGTCATAATTCATAGCTCACTATATTTTTAAGTTTCGATTTTGCTATATCAGTTGGGATACACAGACTTAATATTTCGTTTAGTTTCAAGGTTTAGAAAGAAGCGAAGATATTCAGATATCTATTTTTACTTTACCCTACAGTACGTGTATACGAAGAAATACACTTAGTATAGGTAAAGTTATGTAATGATGCGAAAAAGTCGATTTCGAGATTTCGACGGAAATACGCATATCGGTGTCCCGTAAAACAAAAAAAAGTGATTATTTCGAAACGCCCGTCTGTGCGTCCGTCTGGGGTCTGTGAACACTACTAGCGCCTAAGCCATGCGTAGGATTGTTTCGAAATTGAAATTCGTGTCGATCTGACTCAAGTCGAATCTTTGAGATTTTGAAAAAAAAAATCTTTAAAATTTGGGATACTTTACATGAAACTTTTCCGAACTTTTTCAACCTTTTCAAACTTTTCTCAAAACCAGCTCCAATTTTTTCTCTAAATTTCTTGTCAGAATAGAGTAAAATACACTTATAAAGATAGCATAGAACCGATTTTCGGGTTAGATCTGAATTTTCTAAAATTTCAAAATTTTTCGGGCATCTTCCGACAACTACAAAATTCAATATAGAGATTTTCCCTTCAACCAAAACAAGATTATCTCAAGAAAGACTTCACATTTTTTCTTTGAACGTTTGTTAGGGATAGTGCTAAATGCACCCTATAAGATGGCATAAACGCAGTATTTCTCTACTCTTTTGATTTTTCAAAAATTGCAAAAATGAATTTTTGCGGTAGCGGAGCGTGTTGAGGCGCAGCGCAGCGTGTTGAGGCAAGGCTCAGGCGGCACGGGTAGCAGCAGGGCGAGAGGGAGAAGAGGGAGGAGGAGGAGGAGGGGGAGGCGAGGGGGCGGGCTGATCCGCGTGGTCCACCGCGCGTTGAGCGCTTAAACGTGTTGGCGCTAACTCGCCGCAAACTCTCGACAGGGCTCCTTCCGCCCTCCCCTTGGTGTCACCTCTGCCGCGCCGGCTCCGCTCAGAAACACTCGGCTGGCCCTCATACAGGACGCTGACCTGCCACAACAGACCGGGGCGCTATTGTGGGCGAAGTTTCTGTCAACAGCGTTCCGAGTTTCTGATGGAGACGGTCGGCGGACAAGCTACTGATTCACCCACGAAACCAATTTGTAGCTATTGCGTTCGTTTTCACTTTCCTCCTACGATTCTCAAATTCGTAATAAAAAATAATGGGGCAAAAATTACACGGGAAAACGTTTTATAAATATATTATTAATTATTAGAAAGTCGAGGTGGGGTTCAATATTAATTCAAATTAATATGTAAGTAGGTCAACATTGCAGCATTTACATACATTTCACAAATAGCTTGTCGATGATTCAAAACTTCGCAACCACCAGCTGAGTTTAGTTCGGAGCCACCATTGCTGCTCGATCTGCAGTGTTCTTCCTTTTGATCTTCCTTTCCTTTTCCTGGTCCTATCTCTCCTCTCTCTCTCTCTCACACACACACACACACACACACACACACACAAACAAACATACATGCACTACACTAGCACACACATTAAGAGAACAGTCGGGAACTTAGGAATTGTCCCCACCAAAATGCTGGGATTTTCTTGCACTAAAAACTGCGATTGCATTTAAATTAAGTATACTTTAGAGATAACGTCACTACTAATAGATCCCGAGTTAATGAATGTGATGTAGATCACTTGTGTGAACGTCGTAGAGTGATCAATGTCTCCTGTGGGATTTTACTCGACTGTACTTTCCCGTAAGTAGAGTTTGTATTGTCGCACTCGTCTGTACATCTGCGTTTGTCCACTATAGTATATCAGAAATTACTTACAATTTGTTTTTTTCTTCTGTTACCTAATATAACAAAATATTGGGATATGCCAGTTAAAAACTTATATGGGATTTTGTATTTCTCCTCATTAATGTTTTTCCTTTTTTCTTTAATTCTCAAGAGTTAGGCGTTCTGAGTTTAGTAATGCAGTAAAACTTCATTTGGTTTATTACAGCAGTTCATTGATAGTTGGAATTTTATATATTACAAATTATTCTTCTGATATGAACAGTCAAATAGTTTAATTTCAATTTATTGAAACTATTTCCATAGTTCACTATTTCAATTTCAAGAAAACCTTTATCTAAAATCAAATGATACAAGAAACGAAAGCAAGAAAAACAATTTTGAATGTGAAAGAACCTGTTTCGAAATGTTTACCACTACCATGTTATATGCTGTTGCTATGAGCAGCTGCTCTTACATGCTCTTGACAAAGACGTTCACATAGCAGGTCATGTTCTTCACTAAAGCAAGGGATTTGTGATAAATAGAGCGATTTTCCATCTAGGAAACTTCTTACTAGAGTATGAACTGTAAAATATTCGTCTCTACACTTGAAGATGTAATTGCTGTTGAGAGTAGTTTTGGAAGAAAATTAATTTTTCTAAGTAATCAGAAGTACGAGTTTACTAGACCATTCAATGTCAGAAATGTGCGCGGAGAAATATATGTATATATAATTATAATCTATGCACGGTGTCATGCATTTCTGTAAATGAAGGTTGCCCGTCCAGTGCAGTCAGTAACGATACATTTTGTAAGTAATTGAATTTCAAAAAAAAGTATTTCATATTGATCGCCTTCATGTACTTCGTTTTCATATTGTTATGGAAATGAATTTTTTGTGGTTGAACAGTAGCGATCAGTTCAATGTGTTCTGTTCCCTTTTACAATATAACATCTGCGTGCGAGTATTTTTATTTATATTAATATCAGCATAATTCTTTTCCCGTAAATTACAACGCGCAAAATTGAAACAGAATTTGATTAGCGTTTGAATATGGTCTCACCTGACACGCGCATTTTATGGTAGCGCCAGCGCTCTCCTGGAAATTCAATCGACTAAATCCTGTTCTACCGTTACGGACTAGCGACTTTTAAATAGATTTTTAAAGTAGCAGTCAATCTTACATTCTTTTCGGAGCGTTTTGTTTGTTTAAATATTTTTCTTGTTTAAGCGTTTTTTTGAATTTGTGATTGTGATGAAAATAATGATAAAACATTAGTGAGTTACGAAGTAGTGACAAGAGGAGAAATCCATGAAAACTATGTCTTATGCCCCAAAACATATACCAACAATTAAATCAAAAACAAAAGTGTATTATTTACTTTTTGCAAGCCAAATTCCAAATCGAAGCAAGAGAATTCGGACATTTTTACAGCCGTGTATATGAGATATTCAAGAAAACAAGCACGATTGTAGTCGCGAGGAGATTTACCAGTACAATCCAATGTAACCAGCATCCAATTAGCATCAAACAATATAACGAGATACGGTCAGCATATGCATAATCACAGTAATACCACGGAGCTCTATTTCAATAAAGTACTACTGCTACGTCGCTCCTTATATACTCTAGGCAACATCTCTCCTGCACTTTGAAATTAATATTTCTCCATGATTTCTTAATGACATTCGAAGCACAAAGAAAAAAAAGCTTCACAGAAACGTTTCCAGTTTATGGGAGTGTCATAGGAATAGTTTTAGATTTGAGGAAAGGGAAGAAAATACGCTTTCATAACAGTGGCAAGGTTCGAGAGAAACTAATTTAGCGCTAAACTAGCGCTCCGCCCCATTCCGGGATTCGTCGTGACCATGAAGCGCGTAACTTTCGATTCCTAAAGTACAGCAGGCGCCCCGTTTGGCACCACTGCCGCCATAAGAGCACGGATTTCATTGTTGGCCTCGGAGCTGGCGGGCGGCCTCCGGCGTCGAGTGAAGGCGCCCGAAGGTGCAAGGCAGAAAAGTGGAGCTCCGTGCGCAGCGGCCTCCGAAGAGCACCTGGGAAATTAATAACCTCTAACGTGCCAACTGCCGGGTCAAGCGGGTTACGAGCGCGGGTATGGCTGTCTCACCCCCCCTCCCACCGGCGCCCACGTTTGCTCGCCGCGCTTGCTACAGCAGCCGACGCCCCCCTCCCCGTCACCACCGCCGTTTCTACTGCCCTCCCCCTCCTCTGCTATCTCTGGCTGCCCCTGCACGCGCCCGACCCGATGAGTAACACTGGATATAATAATCTCTAATACACCATTTATTATTAACGCAAACTATTAATGGCAAATTTGTTCATATTATAAATTCGTGTTTAAGTAGAGTAATTAGTACATTATACCAGCTCAAGTTCACTGCTGTGGTATTTGTTAATCATATACCTATATTATTCCTGGAAGATAATGAATTCAGTGTATGGTGTATTCTTATTCCTCCCCGCCCCGCCTTTCCCCGCCTCCTCCACCTTAGCCGTCTTCCCTTGCCTTGCCCCGCCTTGCCCCGCCTTGCCCCGCCTTGCCCCGCCTTGCCCCGCCTGACCCCGCCATGCCATTTCCCTGCGATATTCGTTGCTGCCGTCATGGACATTCGTTGCTGCCTATGGACAACTTGGAAAGGGACGCATTGTTGTATGCTCTCGGCAAATCTAGATTTAAAAACTTATCATCGCATTAATCAAAGCGTAATTGCGCTATTGAAATGAACCAAACTGCTTCAATTAGGGAATTTTATATGATTTCAAAAACGTTCGATTCATTTTGGCATATCTCCTCTCTCTTTTAGTTATATTTGCGAAACACTGAAAGAGTACACTCTTCAGGTTTGCTTTGTGGGGAGGGATAGGAAGACACGCATAATACTACCTCTTCAGTTGTGTTGAAGAACATGTGTACATATTCTAATAAAATCGTTATAAAACTGTAGGTTTTCGAACAAAACGCAATACATATTGCCCTTTAAGCAATAAAAATATTTTTTTGAAAGAAGCCTAAAGTATTTCCGACACAATTCCATGTCTTTCGCTGAAAATATCATGGAAATCGATTTAGAAATTCCTCAGGTTAGACCGTGTAAAGATATAAGCTACTATATAGCCAGAAGATCAACAAAATGTTCAAAGTAAATAAATTTTGGATACAAAATACGCCAAGATAATAGTTACAATCCAAGAAATTTCAGAACATACACATCTTCAGAAAGGGAAGGTCTTTTCAAGATGGAATACCCTCTTGGAAGCCTTTCACCCTGGAATTGAAGTGTCATTAAATGAACCTGGAAACTCACCTTATGTTTATTGAACTTGCCAAGACATTATATAGGGTAATAAGTCATAAACTTTGGACAATCATGAAAAAGAAATGAATACCCAGAAAACTAACGGAGGTGATAAAAAGCTTGTACGATGAGACTTTTATTTGTGAATCTTCCAAATGCATAGAGAATTTTTAAATTAATCAAGGTCTAAGACAGGGTGACAACTGTCACCTACTATATATACCTTATATACTAACACACTTCTCTCAGGACGGAAGAACGAATTAAACAATTTAAAAAATCCTACGAAAGACCTCTAAAGTAAATTCTCTTTTATTTGCATTAAATATCGTTTGGAGTACAAATTCTGAAGACGGGCTTCGGAAGTTTACATTTAAATAAAAAAGGGCCAAAATATAATTGAGACGCTCAGAATAATAAGGGCAGATTTCAACCGACCTCGAATTTTCAGTTACGAGGAACTATGAAGTGAGCTCCTGCCAAATACCTATTATTACGTAAATATCAAATACAATAGGATATGGCAAAACTCTCAAATTACACCTTCAGAAATGTATCCGGAGTGAAATGGAACGAGAACAGAAAAAGTCGCTTTTGTCAAAACGAATTTTGGTTGGGGTATGCGTTTATTATTCTGAGTACCTGAATTGTAAAATATCAGGTGACATGACTAATGCTATGAATTTTAGAGGTAAATATCTCATACGAAATATAATAGCAATAAACAACATAACTATTGAACAAGTATCCGACTTCCAAAATTTGGCATGCAACATAACCTTTCTTCTAATGAATTGATGTTCAACAAAAACTGATATAATTCCACTATGTCTGCGGCATTGTGAAATGAACACTTAGAAATAAAGTACATAAAGGGACTTGGCTAAAAGTGTATGAAACAATGGCCATACCTACTGTTCTCTGTAGGAGCGAAACATGAGTAACAGCATGCAGAGAAAAAAGTCAATAATCGCAGACGAAATTCGACTCCTACGGTACATCAGTGCATGCGCATTATTGATACAATTAATAACTGAAAATATAAGAACGTAAATGGGTTTAATCAGTATGTAGGACAAACTAAAAGTCTATAGAAAAGGGGCTAGATCATCTGAAAAAATTTAACAAGAAGAGGTTGACCTAAAAAAGAGATTAGAAGACCAAAGAACAGTTGGTCTTTAGTAGACGACTACACCAAAACAGGCTTATGGCCTAAATTGCTGATGATGACAGTGGTCATGACGGTTTGAAAACAATATAAATTAATATTAAAGTAAGTTGCACTTTCAGTATAAAATTTCTTAGGACGAAGCTTATGTTATTCAACGCAGAAAAAGTAACTTCTCATTCAAAACAGAATCATATACTATTTAAATTCAAAATGACAAATATTTTTTAATAAGCACTTACAGTTTTTTCTATTTGTTAGAAGATCGTAAGTTCTGTAAATTCGTCTTTTTGTTTTTCCAGATGAAAGCAGAAAACGAGAATCGTAAATTAAGAAGTATTTTACGCACGAATATGTATATTTTAAATGTACTTGATAAGAATTGATTCGCATCAGTATCACCAAGTATTCCTTTGCTCAAAAAAAATCATCACATTTGCTTCTTTGTCAAATGAACCTAATTTTCAATAATTACTCCTTTAAAGCGCCGTGGCTTTAGTCACAAATTTTGGCAGTAATGATGCGTGACATTCAAAATTTTTATGCAGAGTGCTATTGGAGTAGGTATTAGAGGAAGCACATTCGATCTGTTTGCCCAGAGATCCTGTTTATACAGATTAATGTATTTAAAGTACTGTTAAGAGAAATGTGATTTCGCAGAATACATCACTCTATAAAATTTAATTAAACTTGTTTATTGCTGTACTTTTATATTTCAAATGTGTTAATCGGATTTAAATACTCGTGATAATCACAGTATTAAAAAGATTAAACATGATATTCACTGAAACGGTGCTGAAAAAGAGAAATTATTATTTTCCAGGACGTTTCACATACAGGAGTAGAATTTGAGCGAGAATTGATGAACAAGTTATACAACTTTGAAAAAATATATATTCCATGTTTTAAATAGTTCAGATCTTGTAAGCTAAGAATTGTTTTTATGAAATAGTAAACAATATTAATTTTATTGGTTAACAAACTTTGGGTTTGTGTGAATTTTGTAGTGTTTAATTCTTAATTTAATTTGAATTAATTTTGAGATGCTTATTATCATCATAAATGTAGATTTTCTAGAGTTTTCCATATTTTGTTTTGAATAATGAATTCTGAAATGTTTTAAAACAATAATTCTGTGCTTATTTAGATTATATATCCATATTTTAAGAATTAGGTTCAGAGAAATTTAATTCGGAAACAATATAGGCTTGTTTCTGTATCAACACAAATATTAAATATCACTGGATTTTCAATACCGTCAAATAAAAACATACATCAAAAGGTAGTTTTCTTTTGGACCTATTTATCCCACTATGATGAATGTGTCTCGTTTATTGGACTTGCGTCATAGCGTAAGTACAAATTTCTAATACTGGATCCTTAAGATGCTTTTTGGTTACTGATACACATGTTGTAACGGAAGCATTCAGAATGTCAATTTGCTTACATGTCGTAAGTTTGATCTAAAGAAATAAATATGCAATGTGTCTACAGCCCAGCATATTTATCAGCACAACGATCAAGTACTCAGGTTTTTGTAATTCTAACGATGTGCATTGCATTACTATTTTTCTTAGAACCTTATTTTGACTTACTATGGATTTAAATATGATTCTACGGCATTTTTCTCCAAACTGGGAATGCATATGTCATTTTTTTGAGTTAATTATCATACAATGTAAATTATGCATAATGGTGAATGATGCAATGTATTTTTTTGTTGCAGGTTAGAATCCAGATTACATTACATATTGCCCAACCCCTATTGCTGTCGTCTAAACATCTTCAGTAAGTTTGATATTTCGTATATTATTTGTAATAGAAACACAGATTGATAAACGTGCTGAATGATCATAGTGATTGTCCTAGTATCAGTTTTATTTTCAGCTAAATGAACGAACGTTTTCTTGCTGACGGCCGGAAAATGTAGCTCCAAAGCTGTCGTGCGATGTTATTTAGGTTGCGAATGGTACAGTAGCTGCGTCCATCGCAAATGTACCGTACACGCTGATGAATGTTCAAAAAGACTTACTGCGTGATATCATGAATTTCTCTCTTTCTCTTCGCTGTTTTATTCCCCTGCGTGCCGTGTTCTCATGAATAATTTACATCCTCGTTCACTCACTATTGACCTTCGACACTTATCATTGTGTAATGGTGCTTTAGTTCAAAGTCACAGTGTGTGTGAGAGTCTTAGTAGTTTATGTTATAATAGCTATATAGTTTATGCTATAATAGTACTTTGTTGTATAATATAAAAATTGTAATTACTCTTCGAGGCGCAACGTTAAAAGAATACATTTTACAGGCAATTACCGAAATTTCAAACGTGGATGTTAGCTTTTTTCTTTTGTGTTTTCCAACATTCGACGCTATTATGTATTGTTAATAATATTCTTTTTGGTGGAATTAAATATTTTATTACAATTATTGTGATTCTTACTTAATTGTCAATCTATTAATATAAATCAGCTCAGAACTAATTTTTTCCATGCGTCATCACTGGAAAGTGAATAATATTTCACGAAACTTATTAGTGGTTCTCCCATCAACACTTGTTCGGCTGGTACCAATTAGAAGCTATCATATCCAGCACAGTTTGTGAAATTCCATCCCGTAAAGAAGATTGTGCAATGGAGTCACCGATCAAGCGACCTTGCCTCCCTCCCTGTGGCCGCCCCCTCTCTCCGCCTCCCCCCTCCCCCGTCCCTGGGGGGCGACGGCTCGGTAATTGACAATTACGAGGCCGCTCGGCCAGCGCACTCCCGCGGCGGCATCGCGAACAAATTGGGCGCTCGCGCCCCGTGTCCAACCCCACCGCCGCCCCCCA